GTCCTGTCCTGTCCTGTCCTATCCTGTCCTGTCTGCTCAAATCGCCTCTGTGTGACCCCTGTGCTTGTGCAAACCAGAAACCCTCCCTCTCCAAGCCGGCACACTCCAAGAAGCATACATGCTCCTGCCTCTCCTGGGTTGAAAAGACGGAAATCTAACATTATGTAATTGCCTGTTTCCCACAATTTAAAGTGAGGCATACTATAATCCTAATTAGAGGGAAAAGTCAGTGCAACATGACAAGTAACAAATTAGAAATCTAAAGACTGCAAATTCTCCTCTCAGACCTCCAGAGGCAAACAGCAAAGGCTTCACCTGACTCCACGGCACACCCACCGAGGCACGGCTACTGACTAGAGTCCAACTAAAAAAGCTCCTGAAGTTCTTCCATGTCATATCAGGGTCATCCCTCTTATCTTCAAGAAAACACTCATGTTCTCTTTACTCTCCCCCAGACCAGAATAAAAAGAGAAAATGAAAATGTGCACTGGCCCCTACCCTCAAAAGATAAACCCCAATAGATTTTCTTAGCCTCCTGATCGCAAACCCAATCACACTCAAGTTCTTCCATCCTTCACTCAAACCCTCTGTGTTTGAGAGATCCAAAGCAAAGGGAACTTTTCCCATACTTCTGACTTACTTCAGAGCCCACTGAAAGAATCAAAGAACAATCATCTAAAGGATAATTAACTTTTACCTAACCTTTGGAAAATAAAATGCCATGTAGGTAGTATGGGCTTTGGTTTGGGTTTTTGTGTTTTTTTTTTTTTCCAATTAGCTAGACACAGGAAGGGGAAAAAAAAAAAAAAAAACCAATGAGGCCCATTTACTTCATATACCAAAAAAGTAGAAGTGCAGTGGACTGAAGGTTGGACTGTCAACCTTCTATCTTAAGGTTGGACTGTCAATCTTAAATAGCACCGGATATGGAACAAGACCCAAATTTTTGGATGAGCACTGAAGAGTAAGGTAACATTCAACCCTCCCAGGGAAAGGGAGAGCCAGCCCCTCATCTAAAGGGCAGTCACTCAACTGGCAGAGATATTTCTTCTCTCCTGGCTCAGATTACCCTACTGGAAGGGAGGGTGGTGCTACATAAATCAGTCATATCTACAACAGGAAGCTCCTTCAACATGTTCCCGTTTTATGTGCAATTATCCCTCCACCTGATCCATCACCACCACCACCACCACCCATCACACTTACGTGTAACTGACAACAGAGAAGGGCCACAAGCTGCTACTGTTCCCAGAAATAAGGAAGGAACAGTGACTTTCTTTTACAAATGAAAACTGATGCAAAGGAAAGAAAATGGTAAGCTAGAACAAATTAAGTTTGGCTTCTCTAAAGAGCATACAAGTATATTATGCTCTGAGTTAACAGAGTCTATTCCCCACCCCCTATCCAAAAAAGGGCGAAAAAGCTTACAGACTCTACCATGTAGGTATTTTAACTAACTCATAATTTCTTTTTCCATAACTTTGTAATTTGAGTAACTCTAAAGCTAACTTACCAAACACTACATCAATACTCTTCTCATAGCTCTTCAATCTTAATGTTGATTTTGTCTGTTTCCTTAAGTTTTGTTTCTCATTTTAGATACTTAATAAACACTGAATACTTGAGTGGGGAGCAGTAAATGAATTGTAACCTAGAGGCTCAAAAGAAAAAAAAAACTAAAGCCAATGCAGGAAATAAAGGAGTACAGTTAAATCTGGAAACCTGCCTTCCAATCATTGCCTGATCACTAACTAGTTCTTCTATAACCTTGGATAAATCACTTCAACTTTGTGGGCCTCAGTTTCATCATCTGTAAAATGGAGAAAATGGGCCAAATGATTTAAATTCAAAATACCTTCTAGCTTCAAAAAAGTATGAACCTGTTCATCAGAAAGAAAATGCAACTGCAAATAAAAATTCATGATTTGCAAAGTACTTTCATACATATTTTCTCATTAATTCTTGCAGCAAAGCTGTGAAGCATTACACCCATCTTTGCATAAAAAGAGTTTTTCAGAAAGTTCAGAGAGGCTTGATTATTTTTTAAGATCCCATAGCCAGAAAACTTGAAACCCAGAACTTCTGAGGACAAATACTGGGCTTCATTATTTCAGAAACTAATTTAATAAGTTAAAATTTAAAAATAATTGATAGCTTGCTATGTAAAACCTTTGTGGAGGCATCAGTGTACCATAAAAGCAAACCCAGAAAGGTTACTACAAATGGTTCCACTGGACTGTAAGTTCCACGAAACACACTTTTATTCACCACTGGAATCATGGAGCCCAATAGCAACACTTCATGGATAAAGACATTCAGTAAATAGCACCTGACTCACCATAAACCTTGAAAGGTTAGGAATATAGTAATATTATTTGGGGGGGGGAGGATTTTTTTTCTGAATTTCAGATACAAACTTCCATGATTGGTATCAAAAGGAAGAAAGAAGCATTCTATATCAGAGATCTAGCTCTCCATTACAGGAATAAATCTATCTTCCTCTGACAAAGTCCAATTTCATCAGTGAACCAAAAGTCTCAAATGTGAAATGTTACCTGAATATCTTCATGTCCATACCTTATGTGTACACTGATATGAACCAGCAGAAATGATAACACAACCACAAGAAATGACAGGAAGCACATAATCATACTCTCATGAATCACTACATACTTTCCCCTAAATTGGAAAGATTCAGGGAATCTGTACTCTTACACTGTCCCACCTCTCCTCGGGCTTCTGTTTCACAGCTCAAAGAGTCAGAAAACACCCATTTATTGAAAAATTCAAGCTGCAAAGTTAACATAGAACGTATATATACACATCTCAACTCAGAGTCAAGGAAGATCCCCCGAAGTCTACAAAACCACCAACCTCAAGCAATCTTCCAACTATGGCTTCAATAAAATTACATGAAGATTTTTAAGTTGTTTTAAAAAAATCGGGGGGGGGGGGGTAGGTTCCCTAAAATTACTCATGTAATTCAACCAAAAGGAAAGTAAATAAATACGAAACCCAGGAAATAGTATTGAAAGGACAGAGTTAAATGAATCTCAGTACAAAATCTAAGTGCTTTGGATTTATCACTAAGAGTTCTGGTCAACCTTGCCATGGCATCGTAACGACTGACTGACACTTCAGATCTAAAAAGTTCTATCAGAATTGCAGTTTCAAACCAGAGGAGCAGCACCAGGAACTGCAGAGAAGCTAACAGCAACACCTACTGACTATCTTGAGCCACCTGCCAAACTTGTTCTCTTAGTCAAACTAGAGAAATCTAATGATACAGTCAACTTCAAGAGTCCTTTACTTAAGCATAATGAGATAAGAAAAGAAGTTGTCACCCACATAAAGCCATTCATCCCCAAAATCTCTTATTTTGCCCCTAACCATTTACAAGCAAATCATCACCCAAGTCATTTTAAAATGCACTGTTAATTGCTGATGCCTGAGTATGAATAATTTATTCCCTGGGAAAATGTTTTAATATTAATACTCTTGTTAATAACTAGTATGTCATCTAACAGTTGGACACATCAGTGATCATAAACTGCTTTACGTAAACCTTTTATTTGAGACTACTGCTGTTAACACTATTCTACATTATTCCCATCAGGTTTTTTTTTTTTTTTCTTTTCATCCTGGTAAAGGTGGTTTAATTGCAGCCTTCAAAAAAATGAAAAAGAGAAGAGTGAAAGTCATTAAACCAGGATTATATAGAAAATTAATACTATTACTAAACTGGCTGCAGAGAATGATTCTACAGGACTTAATCTTGTACTTTTCCTAAAGATTAAGTCAGAGAATCTTTGCCTTGGACAAATATTCCATATGAGAAAAGAAGAGAAAGTTGACACTTAACTCCCACAGAGTACCAGTATAAAAACAATGGCTTTAAGAGTCTGAGTCAGAGTTTCAACATGAAAGGCTCACTTTATAGAGGAAACGCCAACCCCAGTTCATCCAGATAGACCTGGAACCTGATGAAAGTCGACACCTTTACTCTGAAATTTGCATCGCATCACTGGCTCCCAGTTGAGAAATATAATCGTCTAGCAGGTAGTAAGAATTTCAGCGAAGGCTACTTCTAAAAATACCCGTCATGAAAAATCCAATCTATTAGGGCAAACGCAGTCTCCAGGAGCCATCAGACCCCAAATGCTTCCCTGCAAAAACGAATTCCAACAACTCAATTAAAAAAAAAAAAAAAAACCGTCTTCCCTGAAGTGAACCACTTCCCTCGCCCCTAGACTTAACAACGGTGAAACGCGAGGACATTGCAACCTGCCCCCGTGAGGCTCCTTGTCCACCTAGAAATGCCGTGACGCGATGCGGGAGCCTCGCAAACCCCCTCGAGGGTCAGGAGAAGTTGGAAACAGATGAGGCTACGGAGGAAAAGTTCTCCTGGAAGCTCGCCCACGCCTCTCCAGCCCTCTCGAGGTTCACTCGCTCCAAGGAAAAAAGCAGGTCGGAGCATCCCTGACTTTCGCCGCGCACCCCCAGGCACCACCCCCCACCCCACCCCCCGGGGAGAGAAATGAACCACCCGCGGGCACCGAGCTCCCTCCTGCCTTTCCCAGGATTGCACCCCTCGGCCTGTCCTCCCCGGCGCAGCCTGCAACGCGCTCACCCAGGTGGCTGAAGGCGAAGGGTGCCGGCTGGAGGCCGGGCCGGGGTGGGCGCAGCCGCCCCGAGCGGGGCGCGGGTCTCCCGGCCCCTCTGCGAGGCGCCCGCCGGGAGTCCCGCAGCTCCCGACTCCGAGGTGCGTGCGCGCGCGCCGTGCGCGGTGCAGCCCGGACTCGCCCCCGCCGCGCTGCGCTACCGGCGAGCCAGCACATCGGAAATAAAAACTTTGACCGGGGTCCCGGGGTCCCGGGGTCCCGGGGTCCCGCTCCCGGCCCTGGCCCCAAGCACCGGCCAGAAGGGCGCTGGCGGGGGCTGGGGACAATCCTGCAGCCCCGGCCCCCCCAGCCGGGCCTCGGGTCGCGGGAGCCACTTACCGCCCTGCACGGCCTCCCGGTGCCGCCGCGCGTCCGGGGCGCGTCCGCCGCGCGCTCTCCCTGGGGAGAAAGAGAAACCGTGTGGCCGGCCGGCGCGCGCTCTCTCGCCGCCTCCTCTGCGGAGAGCCGCGGGCGGCGGGCGGCGGGCGGCGGGCGGCGGGGCCGGGCCGGGCCGGGCCGGGGCGGGAGGGGGGCCCGGGGGAGGTGGGGGCGGAATCTGCCCAACTCCTGAGCCCGGCTCCGAGGCTGGGGAGCAGGCGGCGGGGGCCGCTTTCCCGGAGCAGGGCGGGCAGCGGTGCCCTCCCTCGTCCCCGGGCATCAACTATTGTCTGGGCGCCCTGGTCCCCGCTCACGCCGCCTCCGGAGCTCAGCGCCCCCCATCCCGCCCGCCCGCCCCCCAGGAGGAGAAGCTGGGGCGGGGTGGGGGGAGGGGGCGGCGGGCAGAGCGGGTTTGGGGTTGCTTGGGGGTCCGGAGGTCGGAGGCGGGCGCCGGGGAGGGGACGTGCGTGCCGAGTGGGGGAGGGGACAGGTAACTGCCGCCGGGGGCGGGAAGGCCCGGGAGGACCGCGGGGGGGGGAGGAAATGGGGAGGGAGCCCCGGAGGCGGGAAGGGATGGAGTGGCCGGGGGCGGCCTCCGAAGCCCAGACCTGGCCCTCCCCGCCCGGGGACCCTCCTCCCGGGAAGTCGGCGCCGCACTGACTTTTTCGCTCACTCGCTCACGCACGCACTGAACTCGCTCACAAAGTTGCCGGCGGTGGCGGCGCCGCGCTCGCCCTTCCCTCCCCTGCACTCCCCTCGCCTCCCCGCCTCCCGGCCTCCCCGCCTCCCCGCCCCATTCCTTCCCCTCCCTCCGCAAGCCTCGGGTGAGATCACCGCTGGGCTGCTCGGCACCACGCGCAAATCTCGCGAGAGAAGCGGCCGCTCGGCCCGGCCGGCGGGGGAAGTGGGAGTCGCGGGGAGGTGGGGGCCCGCGGAACTCCTAGTTGCTATGACGACGGCAAAGCCCTGGATTCCTGTCTCCCGCAGGGAGCGGAGACGGCGAACGTGGGTGCAGTTTTGAGCCTGCCCCCTCCCTTGCCCGACACCCTGATGGTGGGGGAAGCGCGGCTCGAAGCGGGAGGAGGATTTTTTAAACCTATTTGAGAGAGCATCTGTAGACCAGCGTCATGATCCTCTGGCCGGGTTTGGCAAATGGCTCGCTCGCCTTGGGGTTTTTCCTCCAGAGGTTCTGGGGGGAGATTTCTGACACAGCATGTCAGCATGTATCTGTACCCCCAAATATCTACCATATAGTCACTCCTTGCACCCTCCCGCCCAATCTCATCCCCCAACCACCACTCCGTAGACTCCCTCTCTCGTCCCTTGCCCCGCCCCCACCTCCCACCACCACCACCACCACCACCAGATTGCGCTCCTTGAGGGTCAGCCTCACTCATCTTTGTGTTCTCAGCCCTCCACAAGCTTGGGAACATAGTAGGTATTTACTTAACGTCCATTGAGGGCAGAAAATGAGCGTGGCAGCCTGCAAGGGTCCTCATTACTTGGCTTTCACTACCCACCGCCCACCCCCACCCCACCCCCATAGAGTATGTACCTACCTAGGCCTAGAATTCTGCTCCACAGCCATATTTTTTTAAAATTTTTTTTTAATTTTTATTTATTTATGATAGTCACAGAGAGAGAGAGAGAGAGGCAGAGACACAGGCAGAGGGAGAAGCAGGCTCCATGCACCGGGAGCCCGACGTGGGATTCGATCCCGGGTCTCCAGGATCCCCCGCCCTGGGCCAAAGGCAGGCGCCAAACCGCTGCGCCACCCAGGGATCCCGCCATATTTTTTTTAATAATAAATTTATTTTTTATTGGTGTTCAATTTGCCAACATACAGAATACCACCCAGTGCTCATCCCGTCAAGTGCCCCCCTCAGTACCCGTCACCCATCACCCCCACCCCCCACCCTCCTCCCCTTCCACCACCCCTAGTTCGTTTCCCAGAGTTAGGAGTCTTTATTTTCTTACTCCATTACTGTCTGTTTCTGTTCACATAGAATATGTCCTTTTCAGTAGTTAGAGTCCTTCCTTTCTCCAACTTTGTCTCAGAAAAACCCTGGGGTGCTGGGATCCCTGGGTGGCTCAGCAGTTTAGCACCTGCCTTCAGCTCAGGGCGTGATCCTGAGGTCCTCGGATCGAATTCCGCATTGGGCTCCCAGTGTGCAGCCTGCTTCTCCCTCTGCCTGTGTCTCTGCCTCTCTCAATCTCTCTCTCTCTCTCAGTGTCTCTCATAAATAAATAAATAAATAAAATCTTTTAAAAAAAAACACCCTGGGGTGGGGGGAGGTTTGTTGTTCAGATTTTTTTTTTTTAATCATTAAGCTTTTCAGATGCCTTCAAACCTACTTCAGTGCTGTTAAGGAAAAAAAAAAAAAAACAACACCCTGGGGTAGGGGGAGGTTTGTTGTTCAGATTTTTTTTTTTTAATCATTAAGCTTTTCAGATGCCTTAAAACCTACTTCAATGCTGTTAAGGATCAAGAGGAAATCTTTTCGTGCCCTGTTTATTCTTTTAATTGTAGAAACTACAATTTTTCTTTGGGGGGGCGGTTAAATAGTCACTGCCTAAATAAAATGGATGCTGTGAATAGAAGTAAGCTTGAACTTTAGATTTCAGAAGGGATGAGTGAAAAACACATTCCATGGCATGTGAATTATATCTCAATTAAAAAAAAAAACTAATAAATCCCATCCCGACTTACATTAATATGAGAAAACTGTGATTTTTAATTCAATCCCACAAAACTAGAAAACCCTTGGGGATCCCTGGGTGGCGCAGCGGTTTGGCGCCTGCCTTTGGCCCAGGGCGCGATCCTGGAGACCCGGGATCGAATCCCACATCGGGCTCCCGGTGCATGGAGCCTGCTTCTCCCTCTGCCTGTGTCTCTGCCTCTCTCTATTTCTCTCTCTGTGACTATCATAAATAAATAAAAATTAAAAAAAAAACTAGAAAACTCATAAAAGTACATGAAGAGTAGGCAGTTAAGACTCTAGGTCAAGCTTAAATCCTAGGTTGGTGAAAGTTTTTACACTTGAAACCTGAGTGAATACAATGATTGAAAAGCACTAGACAACTTTAGGAGACTAACTTTGAGTTTTTCTGTGTCACTAATAATTGAGACTCCTTGAGAAGTCAATTAATTGCTGATTCTTCATTTGTAAAATGAAGGAGTAGTCCAGATATGAGGTCAGCTTTACAATTCAATAGCTCTTAGACCTATAAAAATGTTCTAATAAATAACATATTTTCCTTTTACAAAGAAAAAAATGAGTATTTCATTTTATAGGTCAGTTTCACAAAGTTTAGCTAGCTGTTGACAAGTTGATTTTAAAGTTTCTCTTGTCCCAACTGTAAAAACAACAAAAATATTAACCATGCTACAGTAATTTCACAGGGAATGCATTGTTCATGATTTGTTTTTTCACTAACTCAAAACAGATTCCCTGTTATTTTATAAATATGCTAACTCAAACCAAAGACCTAAACTGAATATGTCCACACTCCCACCAAAATAACTATAAGGAAAGAGAGAAGGAAAGAAAGTGAGAAAAAAGGAAGGAGAGAAGGAAGAGAGGGTGGGAGGGCAGGGCTAATATTCACATGCTGGTATTTTTAATATAAAAATTTTTACAGAGAAACTCAACACATCACCAACCACCCTGCTGATGTGTTTTAAGGAACTATCTTTCATAGCACAGTACACTATTGTAAATCAGTTGTTTATTTGCTCTGGCTCAACTTTTAACACAGTTTTACCTGTAAAGAAAGGATGGCTGCCAATCTGTACCCACTAACACAATACAATTTCAGAGCCACCTGTTTTATGACTCCCAGATGGCCATTTGATAACATTTGAAATAACTGACCCAAGTGCTAGCCAAATCTATTAACTTTATTCGATGCTTATGAGGCTCCAGAGTAGATATTGGCCTCAGATTATGAAGTGAACTTCTCTAACCTTCAGATAGAGTAGAATAGGAGATACCGTCCCGGGGACCTAAAACTGCTCTTTCAAGGCCCTGGCCTACTATTTACTCGTCACTGGTAACAGAATTTTCACCTATGTTTCTGAAGGAAGAAAAGGTGAAATCCCCCAAAGCTGTAGGTTCCAATAACATGTTTGTAATACCAACAGGTCAGGCACTCCCTCTGTATCTTCCTTGGCCTTCTTGGGATTTCAAAACAACAGACAAGAAGCAGGAGAGTAAAAGAGGGAATACAGAGTTTGCCAAACCATTCCTCCCTCCTCTCTCTGGGTTCTTCTTCCCACCTCCACCTAAACCCCTCCCACACAGGGATGTGTAACCTTTTCTAGCCATAAGGAGAACATCTAGTCATTTCCTGTTCCTCTCTCCCTGTTCGGTTCTTAGTTTTTTAGACCACAGTTGAATTCATTTCCCTCTGGTTATTCATTCCTACACAACAAAACACCCTAACATATCTGGTATGGAATGATTTTGACACAGAAGCCGGCCAAGCAAGCAAAATTGTTATTTTTTTAATATTATAAACATCAATTCACAGCTGCATGTTTCTCAGCTAAAGTCTGGTTTATTCAGCCTATTATCATCAATTCAGAACTTCCTATTACTCACTATACCTCTATAGGGAATTACTAACACATATTCAGAAAAATTACTCTTAATTATTAAAAAGGACCAAAGTGCCCCCCAAATCATCCAAAATTAAAGTTCTATCTAGTGCTGTTTCAATTTTAGGGTATTGTGGTTTTAGCCCTAGGTGGTGTAACTTGATTTATCTGAATACTAGATTTCTTAGAACAGTTCAGTCTCCCGTCTACATGATAATATTTATTACGTGTTTAAATACCAAGAACTTTATACTCAATTAACATTGCTTAGCAGAGCTACTACACTTCCTTGTCCACTCCCCCACTCTTCTAAAGAACTATTTCACACCTTCTCCCCCAACATCAAACCTCTGGCTTATAACTCACAGCTAATGGCTTTGCCTCTTCTTTATTGGCAAAATAGAAACAATCAAAAGAGAACCTGGCACACTCCCGCCCTACCACTCTAATACCAACCTACCTGCACCTGTCCGCCCGTACTCTTCTGTTTCCCAGAAAAACAGATTT